CAGCAGTGTAAACTAATTCAGCAGTAAAAACTTAGTCAGCAGTGTAAACTGAGTCAGCAGTGTAAACTAATTCAGCAGTGTAAACTGAGTCAGCAATGTAAACTGAGTCCGCAGTGTAAACTGTTTCAGCAGTGTAAACTTAGTCAGCAGTGTAAACTGAGTCAGCAGTGTAAACTAATTCAGCAGTGTAAAGTAATGCAGCAGTGTAAACCGCGTCAGCAGTGTAAACTGAGTGCGCAGTGTAAAATGATTCAGCAGTGTAAACTAATTCAGCAGTGTAAACTGAGTCAGCAGTGTAAACTAATTCAGCAGTTTAAACTGATTCAGCAGTGTAAACTTAGTCAGCAGTGTAAACTGAGTCAGCAGTGTAAACTAATTCAGCAGTGTAAAGTAATGCAGCAGTGTAAACCGCGTCAGCAGTGTAAACTGAGTGCGCAGTGTAAAATGATTCAGCAGTGTAAACTAATTCAGCAGTGTAAACTGAGTCAGCAGTGTAAACTAATTCAGCAGTGTAAACTGAGTCAGCAGTGTAAACTGAGTCAGCAGTGTGAACTGAGTCAGCAGTGTAAACTGAGTCAGCAGTGTAAACGGATTCAGCAGTGTAAACTGAGTCAGCAGTGTGAACTGAGTCAGCAGTGTAAACTGTTTCAGCAGTGTAAACTGAGTCAGCAGTGTAAACTAATTCAGCAGTGTAAACTGATTCAGCAGTGTAAACTGAGTCAGCAGTGTAAACTGATTCGGCAGTGTAAACTAAGTCAACAGTGTAAATTGATTCGGCAGTGTAAACTTAGTCAGCAGTGTAAACTGATTCAGCAGTGAAAATTGAGACAGCAGTGTAAACTGATTCAGCAGTGTAAACTGAGTCAGCAGTGTAAACCTAGTCAGCAGTGTAAACTAATTCAGCAGTGTAAACTGAGTCAGCAGTGTAAACTAATTCAGCAGTTTAAACTGATTCAGCAGTGTAAACTGATTCAGCAGTGTAAACTAATTCAGCAGTGTAAACTAATTCAGCAGTGTAAACTGAGTCATCAGTGTAAACTAATTCAGCAGTGTAAACTGATTCAGCAGTGTAAACTGAGTCAGCAATGTAAACTAATTCAGCAGTGTAAACTGATTCAGCAGTGTAAACTGAGTCAGCAGTGTAAACTAATTCAGCAGTGTAAACTAATTCAGCAGTGTAAACTGAGTCATCAGTGTAAACTGAGTCATCAGTGTAAACTGAGTCAGCAGTGTAAACTGAGTCATCAGTGTAAACTGAGTCATCAGTGTAAACTGAGTCATCAGTGTAAACTGATATCACCTGGAAGAGCTTTGGCACAGACAGGCTCAGACAGCTGAGAAGGCTTCCCAACCCCGTTTGCGTTGACAGCACGAACTCTGAAGACGTACGTTTTACCTTCCTGCAGTCCAGCTACCTGCAGAAACCCATGGAAATGCAACATCGTCACATGTGAAGCAAAATATGAAAACAAAAACAGGTGGGAGCATATTCTGAAGGTGATAGACTTTTAAATAATGAAGAATGGTGCGTAGTCATTTTACCTGCAGGTAATGATGGCTTACAGCTTCTTCATTCAGTGTCACAAACTCAGATGTGCCCTTCTCAGCCATATCCACAAAGTATCCAGTGACAGCACTCTTTCCAGTATACACCGGAGCTTTCCACAGAATGACCAGTGAGTCACCTCTGACCTCACTAAAGCTCAGATCATAGGCTGGGCCTTGAAATACAAAGAACACCTTCAACAACATCAACATCAAACACCTTCAGAAACAAAGGATCATGGTTCGTAGACATCTGTTCCCAAGTTTGGTGTAATTCTTAGTTATTGGGCCTGCCGTTAGTGAAATAAAGGAATCAAGGCAGGTACTTTATGGTATAGAGTTAGAGTCGTCTTTTATTACTCCCGTTTTAGGCAATGTTCTCTTACCTTAATTTTACTTCAAAAGTGATACAGTACTACACATGATACTGTTTTTTATTTTTTTTAGTTTCAAATCTGTTTTTTAAGTTTTCAACAGTGGTGGGCACCAGTCCACTAAAGCGCAAAACTACTAATTGTGGACCTAAATACAGTCGGTAAAATAAGTGTTGAACACATCAACATTTTTCTCAGTAAATACTAGAGGCACTAATGACGGGAAATTTTCACCAGATGTTGGTAACAACCCAAGTGATCCATACATACAAAGAAATCAAACCATAAATGTCCAGAAATGAAGTTATTTGTAATAATGTGG